CGTAACATCTTCAGCAAATTGTTGATTAACACACATGTGCAATAGTTGGGTATGTGTACTGTTGGAACGTTTCGCCTACACAATACTGTGTAGGCGAAACGTTTCATCTTTGAAGATACCCAACTGTTGCACATGTGTCTTGATCATCAACTTGTATGATAATGTCGCAAGAAATAAATTTGCCGTGAAAAGAGGGTTTAAATTAGACACACAAAAAAAAATTAGCGTTTAATAAATTAGCAGAAAGAAACGTGACTTCCAGCTTTCCTTTTGTCAGTTTTTGGAAAAGGTTTTTCATTAGTAGCACAACTGACGTGTGAGAGATCAGGAAAGTCCATTACTTCACAACCACATTCACCTTTGATCATTTTTTTGTAGTTTTTGAGAGTGATGGAGATGACGGGAATGAGAGAGATTGTGATTCTGCGTCTCCAGCAAGCAGGTGACATGCACGAATGTAATTGGCTCTTTAAGTAAGCTGTATTTAGCCAATGGGTGAGTTAGGGACTCTTCAGGGTGGTGTGGCCGCTTTAGTTGGCTGGAGGAATATGCTTGGCGGTGACTAGCCTTGGTCAGTCAATTACCAGGACTAGACTCGGAGCTTTCTGTCTTATATAGGGTGAGAGCTAAGTCAGAGCTTGGCCAGTAGAGGGCCAGATCCCTAGCCAGTGGATGGCCAATTAGAAGACAGTATCGGCTCAGCGAGCCAAGAAAATACAAGCGTTACACACAAGCTTTTATCGGGACGTTTCGCTTTGTATAGAACTTTGTCAAGATATGATAAAACTCTACATAGAGCGAAAGGTTCCACCAGTGAAAAATTTTCCTGCAACTTATGTCAATCCTTATTTGTTGACGGCATCAACGTCTACAGTGAACAAATCACTGCGAACCAGTGATAGTGTTGTAATTAGCTTTGTTATAGGGTGTCCACAATTTGCTTTATAACGTCACTAACTTGCGGACTGTGACTGTGCCTACTAAGTCCAGTTTTTTTAAACTGAATATAACAGTATAACAATGAGTCTTTAAACCACAATGGCTGCAGTGAAGGGTGCAGTGAGATACTAGCTCACTGCACGCTTCCGCTGCTCTAGATCCAGCAGTGAAGCGATATTCTAGGCATCAGGTGCGCCTTTTACTGTGATTTTGTTTTTCGACGATGCCTAGTGCTCTCTTGCAAAGAAAAATACGAGTTTAAAAGTGTACTAGCTTAAATCCTCCATCCCTCGTACACACACACACACACACACACACACACACACACACACACACACACACACACACACACACACACACACACACACACACACACACCAGCCTTCACTTCTCGTCTCGATATATTTTAACGGAGCGAAACGTTGCCCCAGTAATAATCTGTTTAGCATCTCGTGTATTTTCCTCACTTTAAATGGGTGAGTGATATTTATTGACAAGTATCCTTGATTAAAAACAAAAAAAAAAACCTTATTGAAAAACCGTATAAAAATATCTGCCTTGGATTAAAGTAATGTAATAATTATATAATACTAGCAGTCTAAATAGCAGTAGTTGCAGTAGTAGAAACAGTAACAAAAATAGTAAAAATAGTATGATAAATAGCAGTAGGTGAAATAGTAGTAGCAGTTGTCATGGCATTAGTAGCTGTGGTGGTACTAGTAGTTATAGTAATAGTTATATTATACTATTTATAGTAGAAATATTAATAATATTTATATTAGTACTGGAGGTTATAACTTTTGTGGTATTTTTAATAGTATTAGTAATGGTAGTAGTACTAGTAATGATAGGTATAATAATAGTAATAGTTCTGGGAGTCCTGCTTTGGCCTGGGCATACTCTTCTAGCCTGGGCGGCCTGCTATTATTCTTCAACAGTTTTTTTCTGGACACTTGCCCAGAATTCTCTGGGACGCCAAGCACCAGTTTATTTTTTGTAAGGTTGAGAGCATTTTACAGCTTCTGGTTGAAGCTGGTCACTGATTCTGGTTGGGTTGAGGGTACGAGTATTTGTCGGCTCCTGGTTGAAGGCGGCTATTGGGTTGAGGCAACGAGTATTTTACGGCTTTTGGGGGAAGCCGGTCACTGGCTCCGGTTGGGTTGAGGAAGCAGGTATTTTCAGGCTTCTGGTTGAAGCAAATCATTGGCTTTCGTAGGGTTAAGGCTGCGAGTATTTTAAGGCTTTTGATTGAAGATGGTCACTTGCTCTGATCAGAATGATGCTGCAGGTTTTTTACGGTTTCCTGTTGAAGCCGGACATTGGCTTTGCTTGGATTGTGGACGTTTCACTCGGTGTTAAGCAGGAAGGTCGACCTTTCCTCTTTATGAACGCTTATCTTTCTGTCCTGGTTCATCAGGTAATATTTCCATCCCGGACACCGGGTGTTAGGGTTCATTATGATTTACAATGCGCTGTAGTGGTCCTTGACAAGAAAGGGATTTATGTACATCAAAGGACAACAAGTACCGTACATTAGATGGAGATGTCAATATGAAACCGTGTAATACTGCACTGTTTTCCTGTGTTTGTCGTCTGAGCACATCTCAGTGACGGTATGAGTATAATACTGTAATGAGCATGTCATCTGAGCACATCTCAGTGACGGTATGAGTGTAATACTGTACTAAGCATGTCATCTGAGCACATCTCAGTGACGGTATGAGTGTAATACTGTACTGAGCTTGTCGTCTGAGCACATCTCAGTGACAGTATGAGTGTAATACTGTACTAAGCATGTCATCTGAGCACATCTCAGTGACGGTATGAGTGTAATACTGTACTGAGCTTGTCGTCTGAGCACATCTCAGTGACGGTATGAGCATAATACTGTAATGAGCTAGTCGTCTGAGCACATCTCAGTGACGGTATGAGCATAATACTGTACTGAGCTTGTCGTCTGAGCAGATCTGTGCCAATATGGCCGCCTGTTTACTTTCTCCTCTTGCTTCACTGTCAGTACATACATCAGTTTAATATGTGCCTACACATACACCTCTGTGTCGGTCCTCTTCTGTTATACTCCAGCTCTTCCTCCTCCTCTTCCTCCTACTCGACTTCCTTTTCATCCTCCTCGACCTCCTCTTCATCCTCCTCGAACCCCTCTTCATCCACCTTTTCGACCTCTTTATCCTTCTCCTCGACCTCCTCTTCATCATCCTCCTCCTCCTCTTCCTCGACCTCCTCTCTTCCTTGACCGCCTCTCCTATCCTCGACTTCCTCTTTCTCCTCCCCAACTCTTTCTCCATTTCTTTCTTCCTTTTATTTCTCCTAAGTCCTACCACATGAGGATAACTTTCAAAGATAGAGAAAAGCTAGAAAAAATGTTTTCATATCATAAAAATGCATTACACCTAATTTAAGTACCCAGCTGTAAGATCGGGTATGCAGCGGGTCACTATTCATTTAACTTACTCTTATTTCTCGCTTCTTTCTCTTGTTCTTTTCCAATATTTTTCTTTATTGCCACTGTCTCTCTTTTATCATTGATTTATAGTGAGCATTTGTCTCTCTCGAAAGAGAAAGAGAGAGAGAGAGAGAGAGGATCTTTGACCAAAAGTAAATCTTACATCTTGTGAAAGTGATGTGCATGGTAAAAGGGCTCTTGATCCAGTGGCTTGGAGCTACCACTCTTTCAGGGGATCAAGCATGACTGTTTCCATTTCCTCAGGTACTGAATGATCTATGCAGATTTTGAACGTCCTCGGGAATATAATATAATATCAGTAAGACGTTGCAGAGCCAAATTTCACTGTGTATAGCTTGACCCAGGGCGAAACGTTGTGTGTATTAAAGCTTGTGTGCCTTCACATGATGAAAGTTCTGCAAAGGGCTTGTTTGGCAACCCATATCTTCGCGCCACGATTTTGGCTTCTTGCGATGCATCGTATCTGCTGAGGTGTCCGCCGTGACCTCGTCGAACTTTTAGGTTTGAATGCATGCATTTTTTTTTTTTTGGGGGGGGAAGGGCGAGAAGACGGCCATCTCTTCAGATATTTATTTAACGTTTTTATATGCATTTATATATACTAGTCATAATATATATAGATATATTTTGTCATCGATCATTATTATTGCGGGTGTAGCTCGAGTTGATTTTACTCCCTATCCTGTGTGTTTATTTAATATACTACAGACAATAGTTAATAGACAATAGTCAAGAAACAATAGTAACAGACAATAGTCAATAGACAATAGTAATAGACAATAGTTAGTAGACAATAATAACAGACAATGGACAATAGTCAGTAGACAATAGTTAGTAGACAATAATAACAGACAGTGGACAATAGTCAGTAGACAATAATCAATAAATTGTCAATAGACAATAGATAAAAATACAAAATAGCCTCAGAGTTCCGTCACTCAGTTAACTCCAACACATCAGTTTTTCATGTTTTTTCCTCTCAGTATTCTTTTTCACTTGTTTCTTCTTGTGCAATTCTTCCATTTTCTTCAGAATTTTTGTGATTAATCTTCATTTTCTACTGCCAGCCCACTCAACAGCCCACTCAACAGCCCACTCATATGCTCACTCGTAAGTTGTAAGAATTCTTCTGAGAATATATCAAATAATTTTTAGGACCCCAGCACAAATATCAGTGTCCCTCTCATCAACAACCTCAACAACTTCGAAAACTGTCTTCTACCCCCACCAGCCCACTCACCACCATCTTCTACCCCACCAGCCTACTCACCACCATCTTCTACCCCCCCAGGCCTACTCACCACCATCTTCTACCCCCACCAGCCACTCACCACCATCTTCTACCCCACCAGCCCATCACCACCATCTTCTACACCCTACCAGCCCATTCACCACCATTCTACCCCACAGCCCACTCACCACCATCTTCTACCCCTACCAGCCCACTCATTACCATCTTGTACTACTACCAACCCAGTAATCACTATCTACCACCAGCTTACCACCATCTACCACAACCAACCCAGTAATCATCATCTACCATCAGACCACTCACCACCATCTTCTACCACCACAGACACTGCCACCATCCGCATCACACGGGTGCGGGTGCCAGAGACGGTGGAGGCCGGTGGTGAGGGTGACCTGGAGTGCTCCTGGGAGGAGGACAGTGACAACATATACTCCATTAAGTGGTACCAGGGCGCCCACGAGTTCTACCGCTACACACCCACCGCCGCCCACCCCGTACAGATCTTTGACCCGCCCACCCTCGACGTTGACGTGAGTATCCCACGTTCCTTCTTGACGTCAGTAACCCACCCTCTGTTGACATGAGTAGCCCACCTTGTTGACATTAGTAACCCACCCTCTATGTTAAAGGCAGTAGTTCACCTTCCTTGTTGACAGCAGTAACCCACCCTCTATGTTGACGTCATAAACCCACCCTCTTCTTAGTTGATATCAATGTGAAGTCCGACAAGAGAGTATCTTGGGTCCTCTACTACTCTTATGCTTGGTAAATTACATACCAGTTAATGCTAAATGTAAACTGTACTTTAGACAGTCGACAGTGTTTTACTGAGGCAAGGTGTCTAGCCTATCCTCCTGTTCTTTACTGTACCTGATTGCCCATCATATTTCCTAGGAGCTCTATGGTCCCAACGGATTTAGCGCTTCCCCATGAATGGAATAATGATAGTGTCAGATGAAGACCCGAAACGTTGTTCCAGTAAAATATCTTGATGTAAACGTGTCGTCTCTAAATATACAACAAACTGTATCCCTGAAAACTGAAGTTATATTATTCTGATTAAAATGTAAAACAGAGCAGATATATTTAAGGTAATGTGTAGCAAGGAGCTCATCTCAACGGTAACTTCAGTGAGCTCATCTCAACGGTAACTTCAGTGAGCTCATCTCAACGGTAACTTCAGCGAGCTCATCTCAACGGTAACTTCAGTGGAACATCTCGGGATATTCCCTGAATGGTGCGTCTCAGGTTATAAGACAATAAGCTGTGTAGTTAAAAAAAACGAATGCTGGGTTAAAGTTCCTCTGTAGACAGATAAAGAGATAACCATCTAAGGCACTGCCTGGTTCTTTTCCATTGTCATGTAGATTACTTCTGCTCATCATGACGATTTGCTCAAAAAATATTGCAAAACAGACTACAAATTATCCATAACAAGATGTTAAAATTCATCTTAGAGCTGGGTCCAGGAGAGCATTACATTTCTTATATTTGAAGAAAGGTGGCCTGTAGGATGACACAGTTGAAAGCAAACTATGTCTGCAAAATCTGCTGACAGTGTCCAGACTATCTTGCAGAAGTTAGGAACTAAAATAAATTTTACAGTAGTTGGTCAAGCCTCTAACACTATTACACAACGATCAACGACCGAAATGTATTGTCTGAGCATCTCAAAGTCAGAGTATAAAGACTAGAGCTAATACTTTATGTATGATGACGTAGAAGGGACGGAAAGTGTTCATTTTATGATAAGAATAGCAAGTATGAGCCTATATGTAGCACTGATCCTCTCTATATATTACTTTAATTTATGCCTACAAGCGATTGTCGTATCTTGTATAAAATTTATGTTATTGTCTGAAAATCAGATATCGATTCTGTGAGTCATCTTTGTATTATTGTATGTAATCTTATATTATCTTGTGTTATGGTCTACAGAGAGACAAGTCATGGGGCGGCAGTGTGAGGATATCCAACGTCAGCGTGGCAGCAGAGGGACCTTTCCACTGTGAAGTATCCGCCGACGGCCCCACCTTCCACACTGCCTCAGAAGCTGCCTCTCTCATGGTCGTTGGTGAGTGGCAGACTGACAGGCCGGGAGGCGGGGGAGGGAAGCAAGGAGGGAAGAGGGAACATACAACAGACAGGGAGAAAGGAGTGATAAAGGCAAGGAGGAAGGGAGGGAGGCGGATGAATACTTTTTTTAACGTGTGGAGATAACAGCAGACAGCTTCTACACTTCCACTTAAACACTGATTGCTGTCTAATGTTGTCATCTTCAAACATCTCTACCTTTACCAAGCTCCCAAGACATGTACATCTCTTTCTTTCCCTTGCCCACTATTCGCCAACTTTTTCTATTCCAAGTTGACACCTACAGTGTATTGTAAGCACCCTGGACCAGGGTGCTGTCAGCACCCTGGTCCAGGGTGCTATCAGGCTCCTGGCCCAAAGGGCTGCTGAGAATCTCCACTGATAATAATAATAAAATAAAATAATATTAATAAATAAATAATCAGTATGCTGCTCACTGTTACTCAATCTCTACCTTCATTTTCAACTTCAAACTTCTATTTACATTTTAGGCATTACAGTCACATTTTTTCGTCCCGTAAGCTTGACATTTCAACAGTCTTCGCAACTGTCTCTCAAAAAGCTTTGGAAGTGTCTCCATTTTCACGAGATATTTCACTTCTCGCTTCCTTTCGACTTTACAAGTCTGTCTGTCTGTCTGTCTCTCTCTCTCTCTCTCTCTCTCTCTCTCTCTCTCTCTCTCTCTCTCTCTCTCTCTCTCTCTCTCTCTCTCTCTCTCTCTCTCTCTCCCTCACCCCCGTGTCAGAGAGTTCTGCTCTCATATTTGGGGAAGAGTTTCCCATCTCTTCTCTGCATCTTACCCTTCTGAAGAGCGCGTTCTCTTATATCTGGGGAAGTCTTCCCTCCATCTTTACCTTACCTTTCTCAAAATCTGGGGAAGCCTTACCCTATTCTCTTTTCCTTGCCCTCTTAATTTCCGAGTCAGTCAAGAGGAAAGATGTACTTCTTTTCATGGCAACTATCATCTTACCATGAGTAATTAGACTCGTATTACACAGTGGCGATTATTCCTCGGCTTCCATAATTCCTGTTATCAGGAAAAAGAGGAATAGAGACTAACACAGAGTCGGAGACAGACAGACACACACACACACACACACACACACACACACACACACACACACACACACACACACACACACACACACACACACACGCAAAAGGATGAGAGACAGTCACACAGATAAAGACAGAAAAGCCAGGAAGACGGATAAACATACGGGAAAGCCAAAGAGACAAAAACAGAGACACTAACAGACACAAATAAGAAACAAAATGAGACACAAACACAAAAACAGACAAACATAAAAACACACAGATAGAAAAAGACACAAATAGAGACACCATCAACAGAAAATTTACACCAAAACCAAAGTGTTGAATTTACACCGCACCCAGTGCATTTACACCGCACCCCGTGCATTTACACCGCACCCCGTGCATTTACACCACACCCCGTGCATTTACACCGCATCCCGTGCATTTACACCGCACCCCGTGCATTTACACCACACCCCGTGCATTTACACCGCACCCCGTGCATTTACACCGCACCCCGTGCATTTACACCGCACCCCGTGCATTTACACCGCACCCCGTGCATTTACGCCGCACCCCGTGCATTTACACCGCACCCCGTGCATTTACACCGCACCCCGTGCATTTACACCGCACCCCGTGCATTTACACCACACCCCGTGCATTTACACCGCACCCCGTGCATTTACACCGCACCCCGTGCATTTACACCGCACCCCGTGCAATTACGCCGCACCCCGTGCATTTACACCGCACCCCGTGCATTTACACCGCATCCCGTGCATTTACACCGCACCCCGTGCATTTACACCGCACCCCGTGCATTTACACCGCATCCCGTGCATTTACACCGCACCCCGTGCATTTACACCACACCCCGTGCATTTACACCGCACCCCGTGCATTTACACCGCACCCCGTGCATTTACACCGCACCCCGTACATTTACACCGCACCCCGTACATTTACACCGTACCCCGTGCATTTACACCGCACCCCGTGCATTTACACCGCACCCCGTGCATTTACACCGCACCCCGTACATTTACACCGCACCCCGTGCATTTACACCGTACCCCGTACATTTACACCGCACCCCGTGCATTTACACCGCACCCCGTACATTTACACCGCACCCCGTGCATTTACACCGCACCCCGTGCATTTACACCGTACCCCGTGCATTTACACCGCACCCCGTGCATTTACACCGCACCCCGTACATTTACACCGTACCCCGTGCATTTACACCGCACCCCGTACATTTACACCGCACCCCGTGCATTTACACCGCACCCCGTACATTTACACCGTACCCCGTACATTTACACCGCACCCCGTGCATTTACACTGCACCCCGTGCATTTACACCGCACCCCATGCATTTACACCGCACCCCGTACATTTACACCGCACCCCGTGCATTTACACCGCACCCCGTG